CAGGAAAATATAAATTCAGCCAGGTGCTTGAAGCACTTAGAGATCCCAAGACGTGGTTGATGTTCGCCTATACTGTTTCGTCATCTCTTCCGAACGGATGCTTCACGTAAGTGACTTTCGGAGATCCTTCGATCTGAACTCTTTATTTTCTTCTTCTTCCCTTGGATCGAGCCCTTTTAAACCCTTTTGAAATCCGAAGAAATGCACTAGCTGACTCCATAAACCAGCAATTTCACATCAGTCATTATCAATGGCTTTGGATTCGATCACCTTACAACTATATTGCTCTCGATGCCGAGTGCTGCCTTCCAGCTCACATATGTTTTCCTTGGCGCACTTGTCTCCTCCAGGCTGCCTAAAGCACGATGCTTCGCAATTGCAGGTCTCAACACCATCGGCCTCATAGGGTGTGTTCTAATCCGTCAGCTACCCCATGAAAATAAGGTGGGTAGGTTATTTGGCATCTATTTCTTTGGTGCCTACGCAGGCGGCTTTCCTATAAGTCTATCTCTCGTTGCTAGTAATACGGGCGGCTTCACGAAGAAAGGAACCGTCACTGCGATTCTATTTCTCGGCTACTGCGCAGGCAATATTGGCGGACCGCAAATGTTCCTGAACAATGAAGCACCCAACTATCCGACTGCGTTCACCGGTCTTCTCGCTTGCTTCTGTCTCGCAGTAGCAAGCATTGCCGTACTTCGAGTTTACATGAGCTGGGAGAATCATCGACGCGATGCACAATTTGGTCCAATCACTGAGAACAACACTGATACAATTTCGGACGAGATCGAGACTGGTACAGACGAGACAGACTGGGACAACAAAACATTCCGGTATCATCTTTAATGGAAGTCCACGCATGCCGCAGTTATTCGCATCGGTGAGGAGAAAAATTGGAAGTCTTCCCAGATATCCAACGGGCAGGCTTTTCCGATGGGGTAATCAAGAACATTACCTATTATCAATGTCAGAAGTCATAGCACATATGTAGACAATCCAACAAAAACTATGTCTTTTACAGTGTATGAGTGCCTATGGTTGAGAACATAACAAGGTACATGCAACACTCTCAATTAGATCTGCCACCAGCGAGTCGGAGAAACCAACCCAACCATCTCGCAGCTGCATCTGAGCGTTATTATGCCAAGTAATAAGCTCTTCAATTTCGATTTGGGCGTCGTCTGGCGCCATGGCACCGGGCTCTTCTGTAATACAGTGGCCGTGAATAATAGCGGGCTAGTGTTGCCAAGCAGGGGTTAAACCTCCTACCCCGGCACCACGGCCCATGAACCTCCGTATACATCAATATGGCATGGCACAGCGTTCGCCGCCAGGGAGACCCCATCTGAATAAATGCTCTGCAGGACCACTTTTACTAAAGATGGGTGTTCCCTTTTTTACTAAGATATACTTGTCTTGGGTAGCTGATCAAGATGACGATTACTCTCTCGTCACTTTTCTCCTTCGGCTTGCTTGTCACTGGTGTCGCGGCGGTTCCTCCTGTAGCTCGCGCTGTGCCGGCTGGCTTTGTGACTGTTCAAGGTGAGAAGTTCCAGTTGGACGGGAAAGACTTCTACTTTGCGGGTAGTAATGCCTATTATTTCCCATTTAATAATGTTTGTGTCAATTCCAATACGTTGCGAACGGCGCGGTTTGCTAATCATACGACTAGAATCAAGATGATGTTGAGAAAGGTCTGACGGCTGCTAAGGAGGCTGGTTTGAAGGTCTTTCGTACTTGGGGCTTCAATGAGAAGAATGTAACGTACAATGCCAATGGCCTGCCACAATATGGCGGGGAAGGCGCTGGAGGCACCGAGGTTGTCTTCCAACGTTGGGCTAATGGAAGCTCTTCAATTGACCTTACACCTTTCGACAAAGTGGTCAATGCTGCAACAAACGTCGGGATCAAACTCGTCATAGCCTTGACAAACAATTGGGCAGATTACGGAGGGATGGACGTGTATACTGTTAACCTGGGTGGTAAATATCATGACGACGTACGTATTATCTTCTCCTCTCTAACATTCTTGTGATTCATTGTGTTAGTATACTAAGCGCCACAGTTTTATCGCCTTCCCCAAATCAAGGACGCTTTCAAGCGTTACGTGAAAGAGATGGTAACACGCTATAAAGACTCTTCTGCGGTTATGGCTTGGGAGTTGGCCAATGAACCACGCTGCGGTGCTGATGGCACTCGGAACTTGCCTCGAAGTAGTGATTGTGGCCCTGAACTGCTGTCATCGTGGATAGATGAAATGAGCACATACATCAAGAGTATTGACGCGAACCACCTAGTCACCTGGGGCGGCGAAGGTGAATTCAACGTCGAGTCGGCGGATTGGGCGTACAGTGGTGCAGACGGCGGTGACTTCGACCACGAGTTATCCCTCCCGAACATCGACTTTGGTGTGTTTCATTCTTATCCTGATTGGTGGAGCAAGACAGTTGCTTGGACAGACCAATGGATTCGTGACCACGCTGCTGCTGGCCGGAAGGCTGGCAAACCAGTTGTACACGAAGAGTATGGTTGGATGACTCCTGAAGCTCGCCTTTCAAATCTCGGCCGCGTTGAGAATGCTACTAGATTAGAGGTTATCGGAGGATGGCAGAACATCAGCGTCGCTGAGAAAATGTCAGATATGTACTGGCAATTCGGTTATTCAGGATATTCGTATGGTCGTAATCACGACGATGGGTTCACAATCTTCCTGGATGATGCCGAGGCTCAGCAACTTGTGTATCAGCACGCGAAAGACGTGGAGAAACTGAATCACCAATGTACTTCGAGGAAAAGCCGACGTGGGCGGATCTAATTCAGCGCATATGCAATTAGGATTTCTCTCTGAGACAATAGAAAGGATCTTTGCCCTTCGCCTGCTCGGGTCCAGACTCAGCCAAAGCTGAAGAGGCTACTGCAGTGTGGCCGCTGAATCTTTATCAAACCCATGCAAGAAATGTATTCACGGGTAAAACCCTAATTATATGCCTGTTGGCAAGATTCCTCTGGCGTTTCTCTAGTAGGCCCAGACAACCCTTTGAGTTGCGCGAAGACACTAGCCAGTGTCTTGCTCCGTGATACAACATTGGACCTCTAACCAGGTTTCCCTTGGGCTTTTCGTCCCAACAAGACGGACGCACATAAAGCATGTCTGAGCCTTCACAGCTGCTGCATGCGTGCGCAGCCATTCGGCTAAACCAGCCTGGGCCAGGACTCGGTTGTCCCGGTCCAAGGATGAGCTGCATGGCAGCGCCACATATGCGCTCCCGAGCAGGCTCGACCAACCCAGGCCCAGCCCATTGGAAACGTGGCGTGGCTATGTTCAATCACAACCTCGCTCGGGTCACCCGTTGGCTTGACCTCGACTGTGCTAAAACAGGTCCATTGGACGCCATGGTAGGATGTCTCAGCGCCCAGGAATAGGGAGTAAGCTGAGGTGGGATGGGTCGCCGCACGCGGCAATCCGCGCGCCAGAAGCCTTGATGGAATGCGAGCGTCGATCGCGCACTTCTAGCGTTTTCTACTGCTGGTATTTGTTTCTATGTGCCATTTGTCTCTCTGGCGGGCTGCCTTTCTTTATTATCTGCCGACCATCTCCTCTTGATAAGCGACTCATCATCGCGAATTTCATCTCTAAATCTACGATCAAGTTGGAGCCAACGGTACTAGCCTCCAGTCAAAACTTCACTTACGAACTCCTGAACCACTGTATCAGGCCGAATCTTCATTTCAGATGGCAGGCTCTAACCTGGTGCTCATTACTGGCGCTACTGGCCATGTGGGTTCTCGAACACTGCTCCATGTGCTTCAAGCGGGCTATGATGTCCGCGTCGCCGTGCGCTCCAAGTCAAAAGCCGCATTTGTCTTATCTCGTCCTCAGATCCAAGCCTTGAACCCAGGCAGACGACTTACATTCACTGTTGTCCCCGATATCACTGCGCCTGGCGCGTATGACGACGCCGTAATCGACGGAGTAACTCATATCATCCATATCGCTTCGCCGCTCGTCACAGCCGATACTATACCCTTACGACAACACAATGATTACTTCATAAAACCAGCCGTGCAAGGAACACTGGCCATGCTTAGAGCGGCGGAATGCAGCGGGACGGTCCGCCGCGTGGTGATCACAAGCTCTATAACGGCGTTGGTACCCGTGACACAGATGGAAGGAGTCGAGAGGCGGAAAGCACCAGTGCAACCAACAGATCGCATGTCAGTGCCTTCAGAGCCATATGAGTCCGAATTCGCAGCATATACGGCTTCAAAAGTGGCAGCTTTGGATGCAGCCGAGACTTGGATGGAGCGTCGGCGGCCACCTTTCGATGTCGTCCACCTGCACCCTTCGTTTGTTCTTGGACACAATGACGCTGCAACCACACCAGCTGAGGCGATGAAGGGAACGAATGCTGTTGTGCTAGCAATGCTGCTAGGTCAGGTGTTTGGCCCGTATGCTGGTGCGACGGTTCACGTTGATGATGTCGCGCGAGCTCATGTTCGTGCATTGCATCCGTCCATACCTGGAAATCAAAGCTATGTTCTGAGCGGACCTGCAATCTGGAATGAAGCAAAAGACACTGTGCGTCGGGAGTTTCCTGCGGCTATGGATTCGAGGCTCTTGGTCACGAGAGGGAACGTTGATTCGGTAGAGATTCCAATCGATGCGACATTGACCGAACAAACCTTTGGCTTCCAGTTCATTGGCTTCGAGGAGCAAGTCAAGGACGTCGTGAGGCAATTCCTTGAGTTACGGGTCCAGAAGAGGCAGAAGCTGAACAACATGTCTCCCGCAGCAGCTAAGGGTCGTGAAGAAGGGTCATTTCGAGTGAAAGCAAGTGCATGATTTCTTGTGGTACAGCATGAAACAGGAGGCGGGCGGTTGAGTCATCGGCGTTGGGATAAAGCGTGTTGCTATTGAAAGATAAGATACCCATCCATCATGAATTGATTTCATCTAAGCATCTTTTTTCCCCTTGTGTAGACGAGCACTACAGATCATCTTACAGACGGTATCTGAAGCCGGCTGTGTTCCAATCCGTGACATCCTCGTAATCCTCGGACCTCAGCTCGACATCGTTCACAGCCTGGGCGATCGTCTTGCCAGTGCCATCCACCTCGACAAGCTTGCCGCCTCCTACAGCACCAGCAGCTCCGGCGCTTCCCTCGAACCCTTCACGTTGTGCGAGTCTCTTGTTCATCCACTGCAAGTAGAACCGCATGCAGAGCACCAGGAGGACAACCAAAGCATAACAAATCATGATAGTGCGGAAGGCCGTGTTGTATGTTGGTGCCTCGGAAGCCTTGAAAAATTGCGGTCCAGCAATGTTGCCTGTGCAGTAGGCAATGAACAATAATGCGGAGACCGTCATCTTCTTCGTGACACCACGAGTGTTGGCTTGCACCAGGGACAGGGCCAATGGCATCGCAGCTGGACCAGATGAGAGCAAGAAGTACCCGAACAGCTGGACACCTTTGCTGGTATGCTCTCGTGAATAAATGAGTGCGCTTCCAGTAATACAGGGCAGAACCACACCGATAATGAGGAGGCAATTCAGTGACCTGAAACGGCCAGAGAGATACCCTGTACCCATGATTATACCCGCAGTAAGGAGCGAATATGGGATGTTTATGAGGGTTGATTGCAAGCTCGTAAAGCCGAAACTCTTGATCACGAGGTTTGCGAAGTTCCTGTGGGATAGACGTTAGTGTCAGGTTGAGTGGTGAAGGAGGAGGACCCTGGTGTGTCCGCATGCCTCAGCGGCAATATTTTCCACCCTGGATTGAATTTTCGAAGACAAAATTCCAAATAAAAGCAGGTTGAAACAGTAATAAACATAAAAATCCACTTACTGGGTGCCACCGTTGGGGATTTGTGTGAGAATCTCTAGCCCGAAGATAAACCACGTCTTGGGGTCCATCAGCGCCTCACGCATCTGCACCCATTTCCAGTGAGTCTTCTCGGTTCTACCAGTGCCCGCAATGACGGCTCGATCAGCTGCGAATTGACGTTCCTCAGGCGTGAGAAACTTGGCGCTGGAAATGGTATCAGGTAGAAGAGCGAATAAGACGAAGGCCCAAAGGAAGGTGACTACACCAAGAATGATGTAGAGCCACCGCCATGGACCGACCTTATCCTCGATATGACCAATACCAAAGGCAAGCAACGAGGCAATCATGCCTCCAACTGAGTTGCCGGAGAACCAGATGCCTGTGCGAGTGGGAATCTCGTCACGCGTGTACCACGTCGATGTGATGAACATGAATGCTGGGGTAATTGTTGCCTCGGCCACACCCAATAGGAATCGCACTGTGAGCAAACCGCCATAGTTCGTGCAGGCTGCGGTAAGCGCCACTACAGTACCCCAGAAGAGCGTATTGGCGGTCATGTACCGCGCAGCTGGAAGCTTTGCAATCAGGATAGTGGTCGGATATTCCCAACCTAGGTAGCCAAAGTAAAAGACTGATGAGACCCAGCTGTAATCTTGGCCTTGCAGGTTCTGAATAGCGGGTTAGCAAGAAAGCGATACCTAGGGCATCTAGCTAGCTCACTGTATCTTCGCGCAATCCAAAGACTGATGCACTCGACAGGATAGTCTTGTCCATAAAGTTGAGCATATAAGTGATGAATAACAACGGAATCAGGCGGTAGTCGATCTTGCGAAGCACTCGACGAGCCATGGCAGCACCGGCCTCGACATGGCTCGACTGAGCCGCCTCAGTAGTAACTTCCGGCGCCATTCTCTCGAATCGATGTTTATTGGGCGTAACAGCAGTGAGAATGTCTTTCAGGCGTCTGGACCAGAGCATTCTGGCGGCGACGAAGGCCTCTTATGGAGCTCGCCCTCGTGGCAATCGCTATCTTGACCCGCTGTAACACCCGTCGGTATGGATCGCCCCGATGTTTGAGTCGTGACATCTCCAGCATGCAGATGCAACCTTGCTAGCGTTGGAGTACTGATAAGAGACCAGTTGTCTTGGATGCGTTTTTCACTGGCTAGTGCCGGCAACAGTGCATGTCAACGGTCCGCCTCGGCGGCATTCTTATCATGTTTGAACAGCCGATCTGCAAAGGCCGATCTCTTCGGAAGCCCCCGTCCTCCCCCACTCTTCAACTTAAAGCTGCTGTATTGCTGCTAATGGCATGTAAGATCTCAGGTGGTGGATGAGCTGACAGCTTGCCTAATAGCGAAAGTACATCGATATTCAGCCAATTATTACTTGTTTATTACCAGTGTTTACTGCCAGTTGATGACCCGACTTGTTAGTGTTAATGTATGTCAGGTGGAAGGTGCGGCTATTATTTCGTCAGACACCTTGAATGTTCATGATCGTAGAGTTGGTGAAATCTCCCCTGACTCAGTCTTCGCTTTTTTCTCTGTATGAGGTACAGTGGAGGTGATGGCGGATAGCAAGGTAGTGCTTGGCATCTTAGGTCAAAAAATTCTTCCCTAAAACTACTGCGAATCTCTACCCACACCTAATTTGTACAGTAAAACCCAGAATACTGGAATTAATAATGTGACTGTTATTCATACACTGAGAAAGGGTAATTTCGAGTGCCTATACAACATACTCTCATTACAAAAGACCTGGAGACAGATAAGATCTTGAAGCTTTTTTGACACAAAAATCTGTGGCTTGGAGAATCGCGACGATTTCCGTCGGCAGCAACCCGTCAGCTAATGCTTACGCCAGTTTAGGCGCTTCCAGGCGAGTAATTACACAAAGAAAACAGTCGAGCATTCTGTCTCGTGAAGGAAACTTGAGACTCATCACTGTGTTCCGTCGGTACTCCGGCAAGTAGTTGCATGTCTAGACGGCCTATTACGTTCAGCACTGAATAACACTGGACTGATAGCGGCCGGCTGCGAAGCAATTGTGCCGGTTCCTATTGGGTCTTCTCTTCGTAGCCCCGGGCAGCCTGCTGTCGCGGGAAATAGAGCCCGTCTGACTTTCCCGACACCAGTGACGCTTTAAAGGGCTACACTAAAGCTAGCAAACACGATAGAAACGGCCATGCTAAGGGCGCTGTGTCCCGTTACGTACCAAAAATGAAGCATCCCTACGATCCTGCTCGCCTCATCCTGTCTCATGCCCGCGATTTGCGTTGTTACTTACCATCAAATTCACATTGTGTAAACGTCCTGAGCTAGAAGTCTTGCATTTGCTTGTATATCTAGGATTTGGTTGCATGCGAGAAAGACGATGAATGGTCTAAGCATCTCGCCCTTCATTGCCTCCCTTCCCAAGGTTGAGCTACACATACATATTGAAGGGACTCTCACGCCTTCTTTGCGGTGGAAACTTGCCCACCGTAACAATGTTCCACTGAAATATGACACCTATGAGGCTCTTCTAGCTTCTTACAATATCACATTCAACCACAGACCCGAATTGAATGGAAGACAGCCCGGAGTGCCTACATTCCTCGAGGCATACTTCGCTGGATGCGAGGTTCTGCACAAGCAAGATGACTTCTACGAGATGGCTATGGAGTACCTTGCGCGATGCAAGGAGATGAATGTTCGTTATTGCGAGCCGTTCTTTGACATCCAAGCTCACACGCGCCGGGGCGTACCGGCAGAAGCTGTGCTCAATGGGTACCTCCGCGCACAGAAGGACGGCGCCGAGAAGTACGGCGTGCGCTCCAGTTGGATCTTTTGCTTCATCCGAGATGAGCCTCTAGCAGACGGACTGGCAGCATACGACTTTGCTCGACCGTGGGCGACGGGTGGCAAGGGGTTATTCCACGCTGTTGGGCTTGCGGCCAATGCCTTTGAGCGCCCACCGATGCTGTTTGAAGAAGCGTTCCTGACAGCCAAAGCAGACGGACTTCATGTCACGATGCACTGCGATTTCGGGCAGAAAGATACGCATGCCCACGTCCACGAGGCAATTTTCGAGGTGCTCGATGGTGCCGGCACAGAGCGCATCGACCATGGACTGGACGCTGAAGATGACCCAAAGTTGCTTCAAGGCCTCAAAGATCGCGGTATTGGCTTGACGCTGTGCCCGCACGCATACCATAGGCGGACAGCAACAGATGTCTTATTTCCTAAGATCCAAAGACTATTGGATGCTGGGGTCAGGTTTTGCATCAATAGTGATGATCCAGTATACATGCACGATGTATGGATTGATGGTAACATGGAGAAGGTCTATCACTATTGTGGTTTCAGCAAGGAGACAATGGTTCAATTGGCTCGAAACAGCGTTGAGATGAGCTGGGCTAGCTGGGAAGTGAAGAAGGAGATCTTGAATGAGCTGGACAACATCGACATCACGGAAAGCGGCATGTGAAGTGCGACATCAGGAAATCATTGACAATCAGCCGCCAGACAGCGGGAAAGACTGGCAATGCCGTACTCTATATGGCCGCCTTCTCAAGTCCGTCAGATTATCCGGCGTCCAGCCGACAAGTCTGGTTGCCAAGATGGCGAAAGCCACTCCGAACTATCTGGGGCACAATCGCTGTTTAGCAATGCTTTAAGGTGTGGCTGCGTAAGCGCTTCTCGAGCATCTGCAAGAGAAGCTTGTATTACGGACTGGCGCCTGATCGGACAGCGACAGGAAGCAGTCCAGGTGCATGCATGCACACTATGAACAGCGGGGAAGCTGCCCATTGAATGATCTTCAACGAGTAGTACCGTACAACGCTGCATATCTTGACATCATTTTATCATCCACTACCATTCATGTGCTCGCGATGCATCTTCCCCGTAAAGCCGTGCATTTGGGGGTACGTGGACATGATGGCTGCAACAAGACGGGCTTTACTTTACAGTGCCGTGCGCCCGGTTGGCGGCCACTATCTATTATCATGCCCACTCCATTACGTGTGCTTGATGTGGATGCGGTTTGATTTTCTTTATACAGGTTCTGTACAAACTTAATTCATATTTGTAAATTCACCATCTCCTCGATCATCGTTGCTTCCAAAGTGGCAAATACTCGAGTGGTCATGAACAATGAAGTCCACGCTATATTCCATATTGATGATCATCTCGCTCCAGGCCGGTGCAAGCAATGTGCTTGATCTTTCTTTCCAGAGATGGATGTTAGAGAACCAGGCCTACAACATCTCCGTCAGAGGGAAAGTACCATCAAATGTGCATCTGGATCTCTATGCAGCTCAAGTGATCGGTGATCCATATTATGCACTTAACGACTTCAATTTGCGATGGATCGCTTGGGCAGATTGGAATTACACAAGTACAATCCGAGGCCTTGAGCAGCGCGATAACCTGACGACATTCTTGCTATTTAATGGGCTTGATACTATCGCACATGTGTACTTTTGTGGTCAATCCATTGCCACCACTAACAACCAGTTCCAGCAATACTTCTTCAACATCACTGATGTACTTAGTTCTTGCAACTATACGGCACCTGAGCTTCGGATTGAATTCGACAGCGCTCCAGGATATGCTTATGCACAGGCTGCAGAACCAGGGGCAGAGACATGGCCATGGGGCGTGGAAAATGTCTTCGAATTCTGGCACAGACCGTTTATCCGCAAAGAACAGTCTGACTTCGGTTGGGACTGGGGACCAGCCTTCTCTCCGACAGGGATCTGGCAGAAGGCATGGCTGGTTCAGCTTCAGCCAGACGAGCTATTTGTCCGCAACTCAATTCTCGACATATATCGGCAGGGTCAACTCAACAATCTTCCGCCGGATCAAAGTGCAGACTGGGTGCTAAACGCCAGCGTTGACGTGTTGAGCACCGTCCCAAAAGAATCAAGTATGAGATATACGATAGTCGATAGCACGACAAAGCAGATAATAAGTACTGGAAATTTGACGAACATTACGAACGCTGAAGATGTCATTACGGGGTCGGCTGTGCTGAGAGGAGATGACTACCAACTATGGTGGCCTCATGGACTTGGTAATCAGCACTTATACAACATTACGATAGACGTTGTGTCTAAGTCTGGGGAAACTATCACTGCTGTGAACAAACGGACAGGTTTTAGGACTATCGTTCTCAACATGGGAAATATAACAGACGAGCAGCTGGGCCAAGGCATTGCTCCGGGAAATAATTGTGAGAATTGAGTTTGATCCTGAGTTGACCATGACTGACCTTGCTCTAGGGCATTTTGAGATCAATGGCTTTCCATTTTACGCCAAAGGAAGCAACTTCATTCCACCAGACGCATTCTGGCCGAGAGTGACACCACAAAGAATCAAACAGCTATTCTCATCAGTTGTGACAGGAAATCAAAACATGCTTCGCGTTTGGGCCAGCGGCGCGTATTCTCCTGATTTCATGTACGACCTAGCCGACGAGATGGGCATTCTTTTGTGGAGCGAGTTTGAATTTGGTGATGCCTTGTATCCAGTCAACTTGGACTTCCTAGAGAATTGTCGCCAGGAGGCGGTATATCAAGTAAGACGTGTCAATCATCATCCATCGCTCGCTGTGTGGGCTGGAGGCAACGAGTTGGAAAGCCTGGAGCTGTACCTCGTGTACGCAGCAGCCCCGGATCAATTAGAACGCTATCGTTCTGAATACGAAACCCTTTTCCTTAACACTCTTCTTCCGGCAGTTTACAGCAACTCTCGCAGCATCACGTACATGCCCAGCAGCACAAATAATGGATACCTCAGTATCAACTTCTCAAGTCCAATTCCAATCATCCAGCGATACTATAACCTAACGACTGGCTCAATATATGGTGACACCGATCATTATAACTATGACAGTCTACAGGCATTCAACATCAATACTTACCCCGTTGGCAGGTTTGCCAACGAATTTGGCTATCATTCGATGCCCAGCCTCGAATCATGGAGTGAGGTTCTTCCAGACGATGAGTTCTTCTTCAATAGTTCCACGATTATGTTGCGTAATCACCATTACGCACCTGGAGGCTTGAATACAAGTAATTACGACAACAGTAGCCAAGGCATGGCAGAAATGACCCTGGCCGCTCAGCGATATTTCCCCGTGCCTAACAAGACCGACCAGATAGCGAATTTCAGTGCTTGGTGCCACATCACACAAGTATTTCAGGCAGACTACTATAAGTCCCAAATTCAGTATTATCGCGCGGGCTCGGGGCTACCGGAGCGGCAGCTAGGTAGCCTCTATTGGCAGCTGGAGGATATATGGCAGGCGCCGACTTGGGCGGGGATCGAGTATGATGGACGATGGAAGGTCCTACACAATGTCGCAAAAGACATCTATCAGCCGGTGGTTCTAGCACCTATTTTCAACGTGACAAGCGGGATCCTAAGTCTGTATGCCGTCAGCGACCTTTGGAGTGAGGTGCGAGGTAGAGTGAGCGTGGTCTGGCTTGATTGGGCAGGGAATGAGCTCGATGCCGGCTTTCGAGACAATGAAGAATCTTCAACGATGGATTTCACGATCGGTGCTTTAAACAGTACACTTTTGGCAGTATTCAACGTGACACACTTGTTCGAAAGTACCACAAACTCTTCACTCGCTCGTCGACAGGTATTTTGGGACGCCAGGAACGCGCTATTTGTAACCAACCTGACGGCCACTGGTACCCCTGTCAACACAAACTCGACTAAAACATACACTCACAGCAATTATTTCACACCAACGCCCCTTTCTTCAGCGTCGCTTATCGATCCGGACTTGAAGGTGCATTTCGATGATAGAAGGAAGAAGTTTGTGGTGACCGCTGTGACAGGCAATAGTATGTGGACATGGTTGAGACTTAGCCCAGACGACTCAGGGGTAATCGTTACGTTCGAGGAGAACGGTTTCTTGCTCAGGCGAGGGGACGCCAAGCACATTGAGTACATTGTCCAGGGTGGCCATAGTCCTGGATGGGAGACGCGGGTGACGGTGGAAAGCATATGGAACAATACCCTTCCATGATAAGACACAAGACGAAATTCTCGATCAATCGAACCTCGACGCTCTTGAGTACTGTTAACACTATACTAGTCGACTCAAAAGTCACCCTGGGTGGGGGGGCCTCGTCGGGAGCCAGCTAAATGTATCGATCAGGTACTCCCAGCTCCGACTGGCATTCATTTCGCTGACGAGCCAACCAGAACACCGGTGCCCCTGAGGAAACAAGCGCCAAAGTACTTGGTGGAGCGTACGAAATTTTTAAGCCTCAGCAGGTTCATGCTTATAACTTATGCATAACGAACGAGGATAATGATGAGGCCCACAGCTACCCAAGAGCTTTAGGCAGACTCATCGTATGTAGTTTGTGGTGTACTACTGGATGTGGCGGATATCGGGTGTGAGTGGGACTAATAGTGCACGCCCGGCCTGTGGATACTGGAACGCAGGCCTCGCATAAAGTCCCCATACTACGCTTGGTGGCATCAGCTGGATTCAAACAAGAATACGAGAACTAGAACAAAACAAGAATCGCAGAAAAATCAAGTGACTTGGCCTGAACAAAAACTATATGCAGCGTAGTTGGTTTGACGAAGTCTGTCTTCTTGCATGCTTCTGCTTTGGATAGGGTCCATGGTAAAAAAAGACCACGTAAAGTAATACGGATGAGCCATCATTTCGATGATAAACATCCAGTTGTCCGACAGCCGAATTGACTGTGCTCACCATGTGTTCCGAGGACACCGAGGCTCCGTTGAACAAGCTTGACATCGTGCTGCATGCATGGGTATAGCAGAAATAGCAGCACACTACAAGACTCCACTGAGCACGCCGATCGGAGCCAAGCCGAATCCTTTACGTACGGCCATTTTGCGCTGATGCGACTTCAGACGCAGGAGGGTTCCGCACTGGCAGGGGTAAGATCAATAGATTATCAGTTGATCAGATAACTTTAAATCGGGTTAGCAGAGGATCAGATAACTTTAAACTACCCGCCTGGGTTTGGTGTGAGCGCCTCGGCTCTGCAGTAGGCTGCTCGCCCAGACCGCCGAACCTCTCTGCGTTAATTATCACGAGCGCCATTGAACGCCACAACACAGCCATAGGCCGAGAGCGGACACCAAATTGCTGTGACCACCAATCGCTACGCCTCTGCGACCTCCTTAGCCGAATGAACGGTTCCAACATGCAGAGACGAGCCAAGAACCAGATCGGATGCTCTCGGATGATGGCAGAACGCCCAGTATATTAGAGGCCCCCAACCATCTTTCCAACGAGTGCCCTAGGCAGACTTCGATTCACGTTTCTCATCGACAACAATTGCGTCCTGACGGCTCCTCGCTCGCTACCCGTGTATTCCAGTGTACCGCTCGCTAAGCATTGCAAAAAAGACTATCTGTTGAGATATAACAATCAGATATTAACAATATCACCATGAAGACCTCTACATCCATTCAGCTCGCCGCCGCTGGCTTGCTTTCTCTGGCTTCTGTGGCCGTTGCCGTCCCGTACTGCGCCGTATGACACCCTTCGACAGTTGGTCATGGCTGAATTGGCCATGAAGAGCAACGAGACTAACAACAACATTAGATCACCTGTTTCCAGGATGTTATCACTGAGCACCCTCCCCTGGATTGCACTGAGGCGAACATGTACCTTTGCTTCTGTAAGATGCCATCGCTTCAGAACTACTTCCTTGAGTGCGTCTACTCCGACTGTGGAAGTGATGCCGATGCCGAGGAGGCTGTCCAGTTCGGCGTAGATACTTGCGCTGGTAAGTCATGACGTATATGTTTATCACAATAAAAACTAACAAACATAAGGCCTTGGTGTTACCATTACCGTCCCATCTGGTCCCCCAACAAGCCCAGTAAGTAGTCATCCACAGCACCGTCTCTAGAGAACCACACTCGATTACCTTCATGCCCCTCAAAAACTATGACTGACACCGACCTTGACGGTAGACTAGTTCAGCTCCTGTTGTGGAGCCAACAACTACTGCTCCTGTTGAGCCTACCACTACCGCCCCTCCTGCTGAAGAGACCACCAGCGCTCCTGTAGAGCAGTCTACCAGCGCAGCCGCCCCCGAGACCAGCGAACCCGCAGCAACGGAGAGCGCCGCTCCTTCTACTCTGTCTACCAGCACCTCGGCAGAGAGCGGCTTTGCGAGCCCAACTGGCACCACTACTCAGTCTGGATCTGCCACTCCTAGCTCCACTTTGGTTGTTGTCAACAACGTATGTTATCTCTTCTTTCCTGTGTGTTGTTAAACCCAGCTAACACCCAACACAGGCCAATGCTATGAGCGCGGCATCCCGCCTCATCGCCGCTGCTGGAGTTGCCGTTGCCATCTTCCAGCTTCTCTAGATCGATTCACTCTAGAACTATTGTGCAGGGTACACGGCGGCTTGGAATGTACAATTCTCTCAATGACCTCGGCCAACCGTCGCTGATGGTGATCCAGTAGGCATTGATGTAAGACTAAATGCCAGTGCTCTTCGACATAGGCATCCTAATAACAACTTTTCGTGGCGTGTCTGTAGATATGGCACGTAGATGCAATATAATTATATTTTAAACCATCCTGATTGATCTCATTCTTTGTCTTCAACTAGTGAAACAGTGGAAGGCTCTGCTATTAAAAAGTTCAAGTCATATCAACTATTAGACGTCGCAAATTACTCATTATTTCCAAATTAAAAACGCCGTGAATAATGATGCAGCTCAGCTCCTTGTTCCCACCCGGCACCCTCTTTTTACTCTAGAGTTCTTCTTCTTAGCACTTGATCTTGGTCCCAAACACCAAACCACTGAATATTGACAGGGCAAAACCAACAACCAAAGTCATCCATAGTATTTCGTTGATACTGCGCCCCACCAGTTGCAATGTTGCCAAGAGCGTTCCACACATTTGTACCCCATATGTTGCATGTGACTAGGTCTGCCTGCCACGAAAAGCTGCCACAAGTCCCTGCTCTCACATCATTTAGATGCTGGCAATAAGCAGCGCAACCTGCGGTATCGCGAGTTCGAGCCCTCGCGACAAGATGTCCTGGCTGGTCGAAGCCCCTGATACCACAGGCCAACGAGTCAGGGGGATTATATACTCGTGTGCATGTCGGCAAAGGAAGGCTATTTGATACCACGGATGACAACGAGGATGACGAGGATGGGGTCGGTATAGTGACTGTGTTTATAGTATTGACAGGCGGCGTGCTGCGACAAACCAAGCAATCCTTGCTGAACCAAAATGTATTTCCAGCAAACTTGAGTGTGCGCTCGTTATCGTGGAAGAATCTATTGAGGTCCAAGTTGCTGTAAAACTTGCAGGTCCAAGAATTTGATGAGGGAGTGCGGGCAAGAAAATAGCTAGTGCATCCGGTCAGAGCAGTGCACAGTGCAGCACATTCTTCAACCTGTTCCTTGAAATGATCAGGTCCAGGAAGGTTGGTCGCAACTGCAAGCAGAAAACCCGTCTTGGTTGCATCTGGGTAACCGAAAGCCCCACACGGAACTGGGTTGTGATAGTTGTGTGGCCGCCACTTGCAGGCTCCCGGAACGTATGGCGGTGCGGTAATAGTCGGCACACCCCGAGATGTAACAGATGTTGGGTGACTGGTGGCCGTAGCTGATGAAGAATTGCGAAACGAGTGTGGGGTAAGGGTAGGGACAGTGTAATTGCGTGAAGTTGAAGACGTGAATGGGTAAACAATAGGGGTTACAATAGGTGAGACCGTCGGTTGAGACAAATTGGTGAAAGGAGGGAGCGTTTTAATGATACTCGTTATTGATGAATGATTGGAGATAGCGCTAATCACCGGCGTCGGATGACCCACACTCGGGGCAGACGAAACATTGAATGGAGGCAAGGTTGCACTTATAGTTCCCGTATGTAATGGTCCTGTAGGAGGCGACTGAACTGACAATGAAGGAGTAGACAGTGGCGGACCAACAGTAACACCGCCGATGGTCACATTCACCGGCACTCCAGGCGGACAGACCTCATTAAGGATCAGAGCCTTGGGGCCAGATGGAAATGTGGTGAGAATCTGAACAGTGGTGTAGTTGCCATCAGTGGTCAGAATGGTATTTGTGAAAATGAGATTGCCTCCCAGGAATATTGACAAAGTACAATTCGCCAATTCTTCAGCTCGTTTGGTCAAGGTTGAGGGTAGTGCCTGATACGTTGCCTTTACAACAACTGGTGTTCCGGGTCTTATCAATGGGATACTTTGACTAGGGACTGTCAAAGACGCCTCTCCACTGATTGTGTCTGGGCTCATCTGAAAGGCCTTGTTGCCGTGTGGCCCTGAGACCACTTGGGCATTTTTAAATATCCCTTTGGCAAGGTCGATTGCCGAGGCTGATGCCTCTCTCCCATGGATATGAGAAGGAGAACCTTCACTTTGGATAACCAAAAGACCCAACGCGAGTCCGAATAATGAGAGAAATCCACGAGCCATCCTGACTGATTAATGAATGAGTAACTTGAACAAGACTCCGGTTGATTTGATGACACGGCTCTTCCATGATCTCAGTGAACCTCATTTATATATAGTAATCCTAAATCGTAGCCCCGCCACTTCTCACGACCTTTCAGGGGTACGGCAACGCTGCATTCCAAGGTGTGTCCCTGGGAAGAAGATCGCATCTGAGCCGTCAACCGTTTCGCCGAGCCGCTCATTCCAAGCAGTCAACGCTCAATTCTCTGCCGCTTCACGCTTACTTCAGCAGCGAGGTTACACAAAAGGGATATGGTCGCTCTCCAAAAGGATATTTACGGCAACGATCAGCGAAAAGCCAGATCTGCACATGATTTAGGGTGGCTGCAATACGTGAAATGCGCAAGGGAAGTACAATCCGCTCAGTCAAATATGCGGCTCAAGGCAGCCACAACGGCCCTTCAAACTTTGGTTATCGACTTGGCATACTTTGCTGAGACTGAATTGCCTGCAACGTTTCATTGCAACACACATGAAAGGGATGTTGCTATCAGCACCACCTCGGTTTGAATCATCCTGCTTATATGCTGATATCTAGACCCATGATTTTATTCTATGATTTCATTGAGTTCTTTACAGGCAAAGTTCACTTGTTCATAACAAGTTACACGATCTCCAAAAGGCACATGTTCATTTCGTACACTCTTTTGTGCGCATTCAACTAGCAACCTATTTGCTGTATTGTAGTGCGTTAGACACAGCCCAGCGAACCTCATTCATGACTTCGTCTGCTGTTTGCTCCACACTAATGGGCCAAATGTCATCCTCATCCACCTGTACCTCCTCTTGATCTTTAATTTGTCCTTCTACCATGTCTGCGGACATGTAATGACCTTTCCTCGACGTCGTCCTCGAGACCAAAATTTCTTGAGATGCTTGAAGGTCAACGAAAACGACATTGAGGCCTGCTTGTCCACTTCCGGTTGGTGATTTCAAATTTCGGAGACGGTCACGGTAGGCCTTTCTCAACGCCGAGCAACTTACTGCGACCACATCGTATCCCAAATCAAATGCTGCCTCCCTAGCGTGACTCTGTATCCTATCAAGCCAAGCCCAGCGGTCATCGTCCGAAAGCGGTAATTTACTTGTCATGCGATCCACAGCTTCATGAGTGTGTAGTGAGTCGCCCTCGATGAAAGCACCGCCGAGCCACGCTGCAACCTCTTGTCCTACTGTAGACTTTCCGCACCCGCATGGACCGCAGAAGATAATGACAGTCTTCTGGGTTTGAGATTCTAAACGTTGGGAGGGTATCTTCCAAGGGCCGGAAAGGAAGTACTGTACGAATCTATTCACCAAGCTTTGATCGAGAACAGGTGCTTCTGCAAGAGCTTTTGACAGAGAGCAAGCAACTTCTGTAGCGTATGTCTTTGATGGAGAAAACTCGTCCTTGTCATACTTGGATGCAAAGAAGTCGACCAGCTTGATAGGCGGATTTGTTTTGGGGTCAGGATCTGATTCCCGTAGTCGTCGAACCCAGTCACGAGGCTCCACTATCTCGAATTGCAACCCGGCTGTTCTTAATGCAGGCAATAGATCGCTTGTCCAGTTGAAGGTTCGCTTGTTGACGACATTGGTCACTAAGCTATCAGCATCGGAAAAGGATATGTCAACCACCGCTTGCGCAACCGTGTCAACAGGGAGCCAAGATGGTGTTTCCGATAATTGGGGCAGAGCCCCAACTGTTAAGGCGGTTTGCATCTGCATGGGAATGGCTTCAGTGGCGTTCCAAATGCCATGCTGAGTGTCGCCAATGATTTGACCCACGCGGAGGACGCGAGCTTTGATGCCAGTGAGCTCGGCTGCACGTATGCAGATACGCTCCGCGACAGATTTCGATTGTGCATACCCCATCTGTTGAGCCCAGGTGAAGTCTGGAAGGGATTCCGGAACGACATCGTTCGGTGCGCTCGCAACTGTACTGACTGATGAGCAGAAATTGAAAGTCGCCGGTTCGGTGCTGTCAGCTGCTAGACACAGGCTGATCAAATTATGAATACCAGCAATACAATCTTGTTCAAAGCTGGACAGCTTCAGGTTGAAATTCACGGACCACGCGCAATGAATGATACTGCGAAGGTCTCGGGCGATCTTTCTATACGTCTTGTTCTCCAATCCAAGATTGTTGTCCGACTGGTTGAATGGCAACGCACGAATCTTGCGTCGTGCTTGCAACGTGAGGTCATGGTATGCCTTACGCTGCACTAAAGAATCTCTGACTCGCTGGAGAGCTTGACTTGGGTCATTTGCTCGAACAAGACAGTATACACGCTCTATCGTAGAGTCTCGGACTAATCGTGACACAACATGAGCGCCTAAGGAGCCCGTGGCGCCTGTGACAACCTGTTTTCACGTCAGTTCCAAAATAGCTCTTGGATTGCGACTACACATACCACAGAAGAGTTTTTGTGATTGCTTCTCTGTTTAAATGAGGTATACTTCTCAACCAGTGAATCCATTTCTGATTCAACCGACACCTGAGTCTCTAGTTGACCAGTCCTCAACGAGATCAGATATGCACTAAGCTTTGCAACTGTAGGATAATCAAAGACGACGTTTTGGCCAAGTTTCTTGCCGCCGACGTGAACATTTCTGAGAATTTCGCTTCTCAGCTGAATTGCCTGCAATGAATCCATACCGAGGCTGAAGAAGTCGGTGTCATCGGTAATTGCAGCGACGTCTTTGTTCAATCCACTAGCGAGACACCTCCGAAGGAAAGCCTCGAGCTCATCAATACTCATCACCAGTGCGTTGGTTGAAGTCACATCGGCAGCATCGTACGCCTCATTGATCTCCTTGGCAAATCTCTTGTAAAAAGCCTGCCGAATGACACTGCCTTTGTCTGTTCTCGGGAATGAACAGTCATGTGGAAGGATTTTAACCATGTTCTTGGAAATCCGAGCGTAGCTTTCTATAGCCTGGTTCGCGGATTCAATTGTTGGCCAAAGCAGCTTGAGAATATTTTCTGATGGGAGCCCCTTCGTTGATCGAGACGGAACAACTAGAACGCCAAGATATGGTCGACCGGTACCAAATACGACAGCTTCAGTGACTGAATTCGTTGAACGGATTTTCCCTTCCATCTGTACTGGGTTGAACTTCTCTCCGTTAACCAAGACAATGGTGTCATCAAGCCGAGCGATATACTTCCAGGCTCCGGAAATAGTGGGATGAGGCTCGAAGAGATCTTTCGTTGCATAGGAGCCGTCTGATTGATTAGAAGTCAACTTTGGAGGCCATCCTTCGAGAACACAACACTCAAACAGATTTGGACCCCTGGGTATCCACCTCAAGAACGGCGACAAGCGCTCATGCTCTCTGACATAGTTCCACGCTTTGTCTCCCATTGGTCGGAAAGACGTCATAAGCTGGCCGACCTCAGTTCTACAAGCGCCATCGAATTAGCCAATATCAAAACAGCTCATGAAGGAGAACTTACGCTCCATAATGGCTCACGAGATTCACCCCATGATTCACGAGCAAGTCACCAAGCTCGTCTGGGCAAGCTGAACCTCCGTACATGACGATTTTAAGCTCTCGAAGCAATTTGATACCAGCCTCGCTTTCGGCTAAAAGCTTCAAGGCATATGGTACGCCATAGAATATTTCAAAATGATGATCTCGCAAGATGCGGGACAAATACTCTGAAGTCAGGGGTAGGTCTGCATTGTACATGTGGATGGATTTGCCTGAATGTATGGCACGGAAGAAATTGCATATGCCGTGGTTGTGGTAAAGAGGAAGGGTGATAAATGCCTTCATGTCCATATTGACCTCGTAGTTTGCCAACGCAGCCTTATGAGTTTGGTAAATTGGTTTAGGAAGCCCAGTTGAACCTTCATTCCCATTAGAATGTTACTCTCAAGCCCATGCCAAGTGAACGTACCGCTGGAATGTATAATGTAGACAATATTGGATGTTTCGATACCGTGATCAAGGCTACCGTCGAGACGGGTATCTGCATGTGTTTCGATGGGAAACTCGAATGTTGCTCTTGGGGCAATCTCAAAAACGTTGATGGAGGACAGAAGACCTTTCACTCCGCTCGCCGTGTCTTCATGCCTCCCGTCAATCAAGAGTGTCTCTGCATGGGTCGTTCTCATCAAAGATTCAACCGCCTCCTGTGATATCCTAGTCGACAAAAACAGTATGGTGTGTCCGAGCTTGATCAAGGCAAGCATCGTGACGAGATACTCTAAATTAGATGGCCCCAGCATTGCTATGACTTTCGGCTTCTCACTCGAGGACGACCGCACGGGCAACCGGTCCTGATAGTGACACGCGACGCGATATGCGAAGACATCTAGTTGTTGCATGGTGTAGTCGACATATTCAATCCCAGACGATGGATATGAAACGATCGTTTGATGCGTGAAAGCCTGGGCTCTATTGCGCACAAGAGCATCGACTGTCTGTGGGGGGCCATCGTCTCTCGGAAGCAGCGGCTTCTCAACGGTCTTTTCCCAGACATTGAGAGTCACTGGGGACTTTGTTCCATTGGCATAAGCCTTTACCATAGATGCCACCATTTTGATCAATCAATGGGACTTTCCTGTGGTCATGATGCTATCGAGAACTCTCACTCGGCCATAACCTGGGATTAGTTATATGAGATTCACTGAGGGTTCACTGAGGGTCAAATGCTGATAGCCCGAGGACCGCATGCCCAGACCAGCGCAGTACCCAAACGAACATGTCCGGTACAATTGCAGCGAGCTCTGTGTCCGCTTTCTTGACATGACCTTTCCCTTTTCCGATCGGGACCTGTTGAGCCGGAGAAGGAGAACATGGAGGGGCCAATCTGAATCGAGTTCTAGCCAATCAAAGTAACCTTAGGAACTTCGTCTCTCACATTTCCGCTATCAATTTGCTTGTTAGTGCGGGGTTGGACGGAAACCTGTCCCACCATGAAGCATTTCCGTCGCCACCATGAAGACGATTGGGAGCCTTCCAGGACGCTTCTTGGTAGTCATCTAAGCCCGCAGCAAAGAGCAAAGACTCTTGGACTCGAGTTAGATGCCTAGAAGATGCCCCAAGTGGTAGCTTTTGAAGTCTTGTGTCACTGGCCATGTTGGGGTGAAAGCTCCTCAGTGTCCCCGCACCGGTGTTCGGAGAAGCTCCTGATGCTTTAAAAGAAGACGCGATCGGGACAAAGTGTTTTTATTTACTTTATTCATAGCTGTCTAGATACGCTACTTGGCTTGGGGATTCTTGCTATTTGAGATTCACGAGAAGATTCAAAGAACAGCGCCATCCTCAGAATTGCAAAATGCCTTTGCCAACCCACTTCAAGTTGAATACAGGAGCCGAGATTCCAGCAGTGGGATTCGGCACATGGCAGGCAGGTCCTCACGAGGTCGAACGCGCGGTTGAGCAAGCCCTACGCTGTGGCTATCGCCATATAGACTGCGCAGCCATCTACAGAAATGAGGCAGAAGTTGGCGCTGGTATTCGCGCGAGCGGCGTACCTCGGTCAGAGATCTTCATCACTGGGAAACTTTGGAACACCAAGCACAGAGCAGAGGACGTCGAGAGTGGGCTGGAAAAGACACTGAAAGACCTGGGCACAGACTATGTGGACCTGTTCCTGATGCACTGGCCAGTGTAAGTGTCCTACAGCGCCAAGTTACTGCTCTACATCATGCTCACCGCAATCCAGCGCATTCAAGCCCAGCGACAAGTGGTTTCCGATAGACGCGGACGGAGTGTTCGAGCTTGCGGATATCGATCCTGCTGAGACCTATAAGGCCATGGAGAAGCTGCTAAGCACTGGCAAGGTACGGGCAATTGGTGTTTGCAACTTCACCAAGCACAAGCTAGAGAACCTTCTCAGTAAAGTCAAGATTGTGCCAGCCGTCAACCAGATTGAGGCGCACCCTTACTTACAACAGCATGGGTTGGTCGACTTCTGCAAATCGAAGGGAATTTTGATTGAGGCCTATTCGCCCCTAGGCAACAACCAGCTCAATGTCCCGAGGACGGTTGACGATCCGAAAGTTCAAGAATTGGCGAAGAAGATTGGTCTTGACGCTGGCCAGGTGCTATACTCGTGGGGCATCCAGCGAGGGACTGTGGTGCTACCCAAGAGCGTCACACCGTCTCGAATTGAGTCAAATCGTCAAGTCAAGGAGCTACCGCAAGATGTCTTCGAAGCGCTCAATGCTCTGGAGCAACACAAGCGATTCAATACCCAGGCGCATTGGGGCTCTGACATATTTGAAGAGTTAGGAGAAGACACGGTCAAGAAGATTGCGCGAGAGGCTGGTCCGGAGAACCTGAAAAAATTCAAGGTGTAGATAACTTGTCATAACTAAAGCTGTAGGCAATTTGAATACCCCAGTACATCGATTTTGCAGGCCATCTCGCTTCTCATCCACTGTGCCGAGGCCTGCGGGGAGCGTCATGACACTGTTATTACGGACTCCCTGATGCGACCGCTGTACTCTGTGACTTTGTCGGTCTATTATGACGGATTAAGCTCGTCACGACGGATTTCACATAATACAATAAAGTTTCATAGTATTTACACGGGAGACTTCTTGTAGATGCATGAATATGTTCACCTAATTCTAAAGCTTAGAATATGGCAACGCCGTTTGGAGGACTCGCCACACCACCAGGGACCTATAAATGTTAGCTGTGCAATCATGTTGGCTCAACGCAACCATGCCTTAAGCGGGACACTGCTGAAGAAGAAGCTCCACCGTTTTCTCTTGTGGCACTCTTCAGCGAGCTGCTCCAAATCAAAAAGCTCCCCGATTGGCAGTCCCCATCCCGCCAAAAACCATTCATGTAACCAGTACTCAGTGTTCTGGCAAGGCCATGCCTCCATACTCGGCTGGTCGCCAGCCACAGCGACAAAACCTTGATCCCAAATCCATCTCAGGGTTGATTCTGAGGACTCGAGTCCAATTGCAGGTGGGTTCGACATGGCAGCGAGCTCACGACAGCCCTCGTCGGTCAATTGGTTGTATGATCGGATCCAGCCCGTTCGAATGAAGAGGATATCACCCTTCTTGAGACTCGTGCCTTGGCTCGTTGCGATCTCTTGCAGGACTGACACTGGAATAGACGTCGATGTGAAAGCTTTAATCTCGATGCCTTTCGCTTCCGCCCATGCTACATAGTCCAGTAGCACACCGCGACTGATGATCCCCCCCTTTTCTGCCCAGGCTGCCAAATTGTCAGCTAGATGGCTCTGTATTTATTGCTTTGCAGCACGTCACACACCCTGTGTCCCAATTGCGTCTGAACTTAGCAAGTCGTCGAGAGTTCGGCCTCCAAAATATAACTGCTCCTTCTGAAAGCCGTAATGCCGGAAGCCGTCCCACTGCGAGCCGACCTGAGTGTTGAAAATGACCGTGTCATCATTGATAATTCTGGGAGCCTTGTTCTTGATCTTATGCTCAAATGGAAGCCGCCCAAAACAGGGAACCGACATTCGATCAAGCCGTAGGTCAGTCGAAACACGCACACCCTCTTTGATCTCCTTCGCCGCTTCAGCGATTGTTTCGGGCGTTAGCAAGTTGAGCATCCCTAACTGGTCATCGTCGCCAAACAGGCCCCAGGCATTCCCCCGGGGACCATCTTTCCGCAGTGGCAAAGAATCAAACGATGGCTTCTCGAAAGGCATTTTAGAATCGGTTTTAGTTAACTCTCGCACGTATGGTCGGTTAACATGAAGGATCAAGGTGCCAAAGACAACGAACGATGCCTCCTACGTGCACAAGTCCTAGGATAAGCAATTGACGACAATGATTGCCGATGTCGCACATTACACCTAACAGATACGGTAGTCAATGCGAGCAGAGTGTGGGGGAATGACTCCGCCAGGTTAAAGGCTACAAAGCACGCGAAGGAAGTTCTGGCGACTGTGATGGCTTCAATCGGCATGTTAGCGCATTTCGACTGATCCCCAGACCTGTGCTTAGCGTTCCCAGTACCCCGCGTTGCGGTGTTTCCCTTAAATACAGCTTTCTCCGCCCCTCGAGCGGATTTGTGAAGTGGGAACTGCAACAAAAAGTGGAATTACACGCGCCAAACACCGGAAAGGAGAACAGACAAGCCCACCTTGGGAGCCGGCCTCAGGGGATATCGGCGGCTCAGGGAGCCGCAGTCGATGGAAAAGCCTTCTACGAGCCGCTGTCGACCAGAGGACTTTCTGGCGGATATCATCGCATGATGTCTGCTTCACCGACGCTCGTCACCGGACTTGATGATTCGCCAGCCTCGTCCCGGAAAAGAGCAAGCGAGCAGCCGCCATCTGAGCAAGGCTCGGGCTCGAAGCGGCAGAAGGTCAGCAGAGCTTGCGATGCTTGTAAACAGCGGAAGGCAAGGTGTTCCGGGACTCTCCCTTGCAACAACTGCACGAGTAAAGGCGTCCCGTGCCTTTACATGACCAAGTATGGCCGTGGCCGGCCTCCAACGCCTCCTCCAGCCACGCCACCACCACACCTTCAGCCACCACAGGCCCAGCCAACCCCTTTCTTGCCGTCCCGAGCATCTCCAGACCTTGGTTTGACGGAGATTCAGGGTCAATATGTTGATCGAACTTCTGGCCTCGCCTTTCTCGATCGCGCTTGGAAGCGATTGTCTCAGCAGCCGAGAGTTGTGTCAGGCTTGACTGACAACCACCTGGATAATGCAAGATGGGGTGACCGACATCAAGACCAGCTGCAGATGTGTGCGGGAGACAAGGCGTTTGATATTGACCATGGCGGCACTCTGCCTATTCCGGACCGCTCTTCAGCCTCCGAACTTGTGAGCTTCTATTTCGACGTCTGCATTGCAACGTATCGCTTTCTGCACAGGCCAAGCGTGGAGTCGTGGCTTGGCCAGCTTCAACACAACGTAGACCACACGTTGCCGCTTAGTCATGAGCTTGGCGATATGAAAGCCGCCATCGTTCTCACTATACTGGCCATTGCAATTTTCCACAGAGGCAAGTCACGAGGCGGCTTGTCGTCCGATGAGGAGATTTTGGCTACTCGACGGGGTGACCGGCTGTTCATGGCCGCAAGCCGCCTCACGGACTCCGCTACAGGCTACCCTACACTTGATTCCGTGCAAGCTAGGTTGATACAAGTCCTCTATCTACTCCATTCATCACGTATGAACCAGACATGGTACGTGTTTGGTACCGTTATCCAAAACATTGCGGCGCTAGGACTGCATAGACGAACAAACAGGGCTCGAGCTCGACCAGTAACCACCAAAGACACACCCAGGGACTATGTTACTTCTCAATGTCGAAAGCGGACATTCTGGGTGGCATACATATTGGACATATATCTGGGCGTCATCTTCGGTCGGCCACGGCACTATCACGACCAAGACATCGACCAGGAGCTGCCTGATGCTGTTAACGACGAGGACATGACTTATGAGGGTCCCAAGCCGCACAAGAATAAGGACTGCTCAATTCACTCCTTAATCTTTCATGCGAAGTGAGTCAGCCATGTCACTCAACGAAACGATACACATTCACATAGGTAGCGGCTAACATGCTTGCACAGAATCGCTCGAGTAGTTGGCCGTATATCTCAACAGGTTTATTCTTTGGATCAACCATCCCGAGAGGCGCTTGATGACACTGTCACTCATATCAAGGAGGACCTTGACAATTGGAAATCCCGTCTTCCGCCAATACTAGGCTCGGTCAATCCAGCGAGTCTAATTCCTCCGTTCCGACGGCAGGCGACTGCGCTGAAGTTAGCCTATTACCATGCAGTGATGCATGCAAATCGACCATTTCTCTTGCAGCAGAGTGGTCGCACCCCGGATGCAGCGCCGCTGACTCATATTTCTGACTGTCTCCTGGCCGCACGGGATGTGCTAGACATGGTTGATGACATGGCCCGCGACGGCACTCTATTTCACGCATTTTGGTGGACGCATTACGTGACCTTCTGTGCATTGGCAGTGGTATATGTCTGGGAGATCCAGAGATCTCTATTGCCCCCGGCTTCCATCGAGGAGCTGGACATGCAACTCGAGGGCCTCTTCGACCTGGCGGAAAGGTGTCAGCACCACCTCGCTGAGGCAACTGCGACGAATTCACCTAGCCGCAGATACAGTATCATCCTAGAAGAGATGAGACAGGAAGCTAAATGTCATTCCCCTGGAGGAACGCGGCGCCTTCCCCTCGACCGCTTGCAGCTCGAGGCATTGGCAATGGGCAATGGCGTGGATGTCCCTTCAGATTTGTCTCAATCGACGTTTGACCAGGCGGCTTTGCCTCTTGATTCAAACTTGATGGGGATGCAGAACTTCTGGAACGGATGGCAGACTACGGATTGGCTGGACATTGATGCTTTGGTGAGTACACAAACCGCCGATTTTGACGACGTTTTCAATAGCGTCCTGCTAACTTGCTCCAGGCGTTTGGGCCATTTACGGGATTCGATGCATCTCCAGGCCCCTGGCTCCCCGAACCCTCAACCGGATTTATGTAAATATGACGGCTGAATCACTATTACTACGGAGATGACTGGATAGGACTGATGATTTTAGACACTGTGGTTGTTGTTTACTACGAACTACTGAGGCAAATGATGTATGATTATAGCAACGATAAACTGTATGACTCATTGACCCAGGTCATGGTATTTTCTATCAATTGTGCAACATCAATATCCCTGGCTTTATGATCTGTGAACTTGATTATGATGAAAGCAAGTGACCATTTTTCCGGCTCATCAAATTGTTTGGCGGAATTTGGGGCGGAGAAGCACTTGCACCCTGAAGTTTTCCGGATAGACCCCGCAAATAAGGTGCTCAGTAGTGTAAAACTAGCTATCCCCACTGATGTGACGAGTCATGGCGAGCGACAAGGAGCATCCCCACGGGGGTAGTTCCCCGCGCTGGCTTGGTGCCGTTGGAGAGCAGTGGTCAGAATGAGTAACGGCATTCAAGTTGGGACGAAACGACGGTATGCAGCTATCGTTCAGACCTTGGCATTTCCGGTGGCTTATGCCTTTTGCAACAGGCTATGCTCGGCAAGGTGGTGCCGCTCTGGTCGTGACTGCCGACCGGTGATGACAAGCAGACAGGCATATTAGGACCTCGTGCTCCCCTGGCTACATACCCAAGATCATCCTACTGTAGATCAGAAACGAAACAATCCCTATCGATCATGGAGTCCCAAGACAAAGGAATAGCGCTGCACTCTGAGATCCAACCTCAACTGGATGCCAAGGATGGTGATGTCGCCCTCAATCTCTTCACCAAGGGCCAAGAGCTCGCCGACCCTATAGACCCCGTTGCGGAGAAGAAACTCCTTCGCAAGATAGATTGGATGGTCATTCCCTTCATCTGCATCACATATCTTGTCACGTATATCGATAAAGCAACCATTGGTTATGCCGCCGTCTTTGGACTGCAGAAGGATCTTGGCCTTGTCGGCGACCAATACAGCTGGCTAGGTAAGTTCTGAGGCTGATGAGATTGTGAGTTCATCGAAAATCTGACCAATATCTAGGTAGCATCTTTTACTTTGGATATATGGTCTTTGAGTACCCTACCAGCTACGCAATGCAGAAGTTGTCGGTAGCGAAATGGATGTCAGCAAACATCTTCATATGGGGAGGCATCACTATGGCTCTTGGCGGGTGCAAAAGCTTCCCTTCGTTCGCCGGTCTCCGCTTTGTTCTAGGCGCTCTGGAGTCATGTTCAACTCCTGGCTACCTGTTAATCACAGCCATGTGGTATAAGGTTGAAGAGCAGCCTGTGCGAATTGGATACTGGTCGACCTTCCTTGGCCTGGCCAATGCTTTCGGTGGTCTCCTTGGCTATGGCATCGGTCATATTCATGGAGCCTTAGAATCATGGCGTTATCAATTCATTATCATCGGCGCTGTGTCCTCGGCTTGGGGACTCTTCATGTTCTTCACCCTGGCTGAAAATGCCGTGAGCGCGTAAGTGAGCACATCGCACCTCCGATACAAGAGACAACAAGGCTTACCAACTATACTCTGCTTAGACGCTGGCTCACTGATTCCGAGAAGAAGCTTGCAGTTGAGAGATTACGGGACAACCAGACTGGTATCAAGAACACAAAGACCAAGCCCTACCAAATCAAGGAGGCTTTCTTAGATCCCAAGACATGGTTCTTCTTTCTCTTCGGGATGTCAACTCAAGTTGTCAATGGCGCAGTGTCAAATTTTGGTAGCTTAATCGTGAAAGGCTTCGGATTCAGCAGCCTGAATGCCACTTTGCTTCAGGTGCCATACGGATTCATCATCCTCTTCGCCAACCTGTCGGCCATGTATATCCAACGATGGCTCCCGGGCCAAATGAGATGCGCTGTTGCCTGCGTTTACGTTCTACCCGCTCTTGCTGGCACTATCGGTATACACACCATCTCAAGAGACTCGCGAGGTGCGCTCCTTGCATGCTACTATGTGAGTTATCTACTTGCCTTTGCCTCCTGCCTCGCTCGATAAATGGTCACTTACACACGCACTATAGCTCACCGCCTGTTACACTGCTTCGTTCTCGATGATTATGTCTTTGCTCACCGCAAATGTTGCTGGATCTACAAAGCGATCGACCGTTAATGCTATCTTCTTCATCTCATACTGTGTTGGCAACATAGTCGGCCCCTTTGCCTTCAAGAGCAACGAAGCTCCTGTTTATACATCGGGTATTATCGCCGTGTTGGTAGCATACTGCGTTGAGATTGGTCTGCTCATTGCTTTCGCTTTCTATATGATCATGATGAACAAGCAGAAGGCAAGTGCTTTGGCTGCACTTCAGGCGGAACATGGCGGAGATGAGCAGGAAAGAGCTGTAGCCGCGTTCAGTGACCACACGGATCGGGAGAATCCGTTCTTCAGATATACCTATTAGTCTATAAGCGAACATTACATCTGTCGAACGAAGACCTAGCTATAATGAGAGACGGCATGGATATAGTAGGCATATCTTCCAGGGAAGCCAAGGCTCTCTAAACCTCGTTTCTCGTATCCCTCACCATGAACGCATGCTCATATCCGTATTTCTCGTCGAAGAAATTTATCGTCTCTAGTGTTTTGAAGCCATAGCGCTCATATATCGGCGCACCCATTGGACTTGCATCTAGGTAACACTCGACTCCGTCCCTGTCCGCCTTTTCAGTGCCCCATCGAATCAACATCCCACCAGCTCCTTTCCCTTGGTAGGCCTTCTTCGTGCCAATGATCTCAAGGTACCAATGGGGTCGCTTGTCCATGATCACTTCATGCTTCTTCGCAAGCTTCTCAAAGAAAGCCCGGGCTTCCTCGGGACTGCCATCCCGAGGCCAGTTGTCCGGTAGTGGTGGATACACGGTGTCTGACGGGAGGGGCGCGTTCCATTTTGCGAATGCGATAACCGTCTCTGGCACCGTGGATATGTCTGCGACGACAAGAAAACGCGCATTTGGGTCCTGGATCTCTTCGCTTAAAGAATCATACCAGAATGCCTGTGCTTGCGAAGATGTTCGTGGAAAGCAGATTCTGGCGGGGACGTTGTTTGAGAAGCCATCGAAAAAGCACTCGCACATGTCTGCGACGTCCTCAGGTCGGCCAGGCCGCAACCTGAACCATGAGGGTGGCATTTGGTGACGAGAGTAAGTTTCTCGTTTACATCAACATCGAATTGCTGTTGCACTTGTGGCAATTGGCCCGTTAAGATAAAGCTGTCAGTCTATCCGGGTGGTCCTCTGAGGGCAAATGTTGAAGCATTATCACTGAGGGCCGATGGCGCCAACAGTCATACTAGCGCAAAGAAGCAATTTTGGTCTCCCTCAAGGCCCCGGTCTAGGATGTCGCATCCACCAACATCCATTTGTATGGCTGCCACAAGCCCTTAGACTGCTGCGAAAAGAGTGTGTCTGCTGTGGAATATGTGTGAATATTCAAATTAATGTCCTGAGATGGTATTCGCTTCAGGATTTCTCTCTTGAACGAGGGTTAATAGAGCAGGAAATATGGATAGAGGCTGAGGGGTGTCAGATAGGAAGAAAATGCCTGATTAGTAGTACTGTACCCGACCATCGAATATCCATCCTATTTCAGCGTCAATGTATCGCGGATTAAACCAAGTTTCATTCAGTCAGACATTGCATCTCAGAGCACCACTCTTACAAGTACGACCTTTACCCTTGGGCTAAATTCTCGTCACAACAACATCCTTGGTCAATCACGCAGTTCTAAAGAGCATGTTGCATGTTGACTTGACTCGCCTAATAATGCGCTCCTAGCATCGGTGCTTCACTACAGAGCGAGCAACAAGTCCCACAGAATGTGTCGAACTTCGGTCCAATATCTCCTCCCAGGCCCATATAATGGATATCGTATCTTTGCAATTGGATAATTCATACTCAGTCGAGTGCCAACAGTGAGACACTCGCTCGTATCCATTTGTGCGGGAAGCAAGCCGGTCGCATCCCCGCCATCAACCTAAGACAAGGGCTGCGCGCTCGCGACACGCTATACATTCCAAGTCTCCCTCCCTTCACCTGCCTCTCCCTTCAATGACCAACGCCTCAGCCGTTAAAGCTTCACGATGAGGATACTTGCGCTCTCCATGTTCTTTTCTCCTACCTCAGAGCCCAATAGACGCAAGAGATCTTCAAAGGCTCACTCATACAGCTAACAAACGAATTACCACCCCGCATCGATGTACAGACACTGGGCATATGAAACCACACGTCAATCACGGTCAAGTAAACTGAGGCGGCGATGCCCGCGCTTGATTTCCCATGGGTCCTAATCGCGAAGGATACCAGTAGTGTCCTGGACACGCATCATCATACAGCGGTGCCGAGTGCACGTCTGGAAAACCTGACGCACAGCCAGTCTGAAGACCGTCTGCGCGAGGCTCTTGAGACCATAGCCAAGCGCCAAAGCACTTCCCATGCTAAGATGAGATTGCTTGCGATCCTCGGTGAAGCGCAGAATGGACCAGTAAATGTTAACCGGTAAGAAACTGCATGTCTAGCAATATGGTACTTTGGCTAGAGCTTAATGCTTGATTGTAGGGCATCGGAATGGGGCTCAGATGAGCCCGCTTATCACCTTCTAACTGCGATGAAAAAGGTCGCGATACACAAGAGAGGCATACTGGTGCTCGATAACAGCAAACTGTCTCCAGCATTTTGTCTCGTCAATGTTGCATGTGTCAATGGACAGACCACACTCATTCAACAACCCCTACCTCGTGAAGCTTATTCGCCGTCCTTCGATCCCGCCCGATATTACAACGGCGCAGGGGAGGTCCTATATGATGCAGATGCTGTTTTCGACTCCTCCGACTTAGACGAGCCATTGACAGTCCAGGGGAGTATCGTTCCGCTAGCCCAAGTCTTTAGGCCAGAGGTAACTGAAGATTCGGCGGTCGAGGTTGATCGACGACTGAGTGATAGCACCGTGCCATTCTCTTCATCCATCGATCGGAATTTTGGAAGTGACGGTACAAGTAGCCGGAGGACGTCGAAAACCTCCTGTTGTTCGAGTCAATGCGACTCTACGGCGAGTTTTGCGATGAACAACTTTGGCCCTTCGCGGCTGTTGATGCGTGAGCGATCTGTCTCTTTAGGCAAAAAGAAGCCGCCAATCGCTCCAGCTATCGCACCACGGGTGGCTTTCTTCGATGGGAATGCTATAAGCACAGATACTTCGTTTACGACCGAAAGCGTGTAGTACTTTGCTGAAAAAGCACACCCGTTCTTACATATGGACTTGGTTCAAGTCTCGATAAACTTGCCGCTCCACTGAAAGGAACGAAACCTACAATATCAACGTACCTGGGCCGCATAGGTCAGTCCTCATCAACCGTAACTACAACATTACGTGCATTTACTGATAATAGAGCTTCAAAGGAGCAGCGACCACGCATCGCAAGATCGCGATGTACTAACGTGGTGAATCAGGTTGTTGTCGGGAGGAAGCATGCTTTATCTGTTCCGCCCAGCGCCCTTCTCAGATCGTGGCAGTGCAGGTCCCACTCAGGGAATTGCTTGAGACTTTGGGCTGTTGGTCGGCGCAGCTCTGTGGATCTGCGACACTTGGCTTCGGGATGCCTTCCTGCCAATCAATACGGCGGTCCCCTGCATCATCATATCATGCACCAATCACTTTGCAGTCTCAGAATTGGCCCTCTTAGGCTGCAGCAGAAGCGCTGGATGTTGGTAGCAACTGATACAACTTGAAGCTGTAGGCGACCCTACATAAACCCCTGGCGGCTGTCTCTTCTGTCTTCTGAGCAAAGAATTAATAATGCCTTGCATCTCCTTCGAGGGGGCTGGCTGGAGCCACCTCGGAACCTCTGGAGCTTTGACGAAGGCCTAATAAAGCTGTTGCTGAGCATCCACACGACACTAGGATGACCGAAAGTAGAGATCCCACAGTTGGGTTTTGGCGGAAGTGGTCGGCATTCCAGGGGCTTCTGGTAACCACCGCGATAAGTGCTGTGCTCATTGTTGGAACAGCCCGCAACTGGACAATCGGAGGCAAACACTACGAGGATATCACGAACAATCGAGCAACTGCGCAGCTCACCATTCAACTCATCTCAGGCCTGCTCGGATTGATTCATATCACTGTGATCTGCCGCCTCGTCAATCATGCCAGCCGAATCTATCTGGTCAAAAACTCCTCGGTTCAGATGGGAACATTGCAGACATGGGCGGCAATGAGTATTCCAAGACTGGACTACGATGTGCCGATCCAATACCTCTTGCCACTATTGATCATCTCCAGCTTTGGTCTCGTGTCGTCATCGCTATGGGTGGGTGCGCTCACACCAGTGGTGAGCAGCGTAATGGAAACGCATGCTCTTACAATCCCATCTGCTCGAAATACAAGCTTAATCAAAGAGTATCCATCTGAAATTAGGGGATCAGGTCCCAGCTTGACAACAAGAGAGGGTATATTCACCTACTCTGTCGGCATCAAACATCTAGGGGCCCTTGTTGTCTCAGCAGCGTCAGCTACGACTGCAGACGGCTCGGTGCGGAAACATGCGAAACTCGACAATACACAATTCTTTTACGAGGGGCGCTCGTATGGTGTCGGCTCCCCGGTCGGATTAACAGATAGCAACATCACCACGCTAGATTTGGCGACTCGTTATTCGTATATGGAAGCTGGCTATCAGGCGCATGTTGCTTGCATGTATAACAGCAGCAGTGATTTTGTCATCCACAACGAAGTTGCTACTCGAATATGGGAAGTCGGCGGGTATCTTCCTGACAGCTTAGGTGGGCCTGAGTCGTCCGAATACGTCGGCCATTCCTCAGATGTCATTGTCGCCATGGGTGTAGCGTTCAGCGGTCAAAGTCCGCGCCGATTCGTGGCGATAGCCGCAGGTGCAAGCTATTCCGATCTAGATGGCATCCAGTGCAGCATTGACTTTACACCGATGCTATTTAACGTTTCGGTAGGCATCGCCAATCGGAACATTTCCGTCTCTCCGGGACCAAGGATTGACGACTTTGACCCTGAGAGAAATATCACGCGTACATTGATGAGGCAATTTGAGCTTATCACGAACGACATGACGAACCTCTACGTGTCTGTTGTCGGGGACGCATTCATGTCCAGTGTTACTGCGTACAATACATCCCATACTATGGAGACTAATGCAACTGCTACTTTGCGAGGCGTCGAGAACGCATTGACGGCGATGGCAGACGACATGCTAGCCGGCTACGCTGCAGCTCAATTAATGGTCGGTGAGATCTCTAATGTGGTGTCCGGGGATGTAACGATGTCAGCATTGGTGATTGGACAGCGGAGATATATCATCGCTATATCTGTTATCAACTTCGTCGTGCTCCTGATCTTCCTTTTTGAGGCTATTCGCACGCGAAGATGGCACTCGCTTCCCGCTCTCGACTTCTCGGATCCTAAATGCTTGATTGCTGCAAGCTTCCGGGGAGGCTCGGCATCTCAAGAAGGCGGTGGGTCATGGGGAGAGGGAGCTAAGTTGATTCGAAGAGAGCAGTTTCAAGAAGGTCCATATGCATGGGAGAAGCAAACGGCAATGAGGGAGTCGGTTGTTGAGCTCAGGAAGCATCCTGAGAACGGAGAAACAGCGTTGTTCATCTCAAATCCCCGATTAGCGTAGTATATGAAATCCGTTTTATACATTCATCAATGCAATGGACATATCAATGTAGTACTTATACAATCACTAAGGTTTATCGCACTGTTGACACCCTGCTCTGTCTAAACTTCAGACCTCATTGGGGAAGGAGAACGATGCGGATGCTATAAGCAAACCCGGACAGCCATCTAACAAACAACCGAAGTCGCTTCACGGCTTGGCGATGCTGAAGAAGGCAATCGCACCCTTTCCTAAATCGCCAAGGGTAATAATACCACCTAGCCAAGCTTGATTAGGAGTTGGTGCCTACTGCCCCTAGTCGCTAGAACCCACTGGCGCACACTTGCTTCAACATCTTCACTATTTTATTGAAAAATAAACACAACATTGAGTCCATGCCCAAATCCTTGCAATAAGCATAGACACGGTGCCACAAGACAAGAAATGGTTGCTGGAGAGCAGCACAAATGACTACGCCACAACTTTTGAGCCTTCCAAGAGAGCTCT